GACATCATAACAAAAGGTTTATATTAGAATCACTGTGGCACTTTGAAAAAAATTCATTAATTTAAAAGTGAACAAATCCTAACTCATCAATGACTGTGGCTGTTTATTTATAATCGATTGCTGAGAATCACACAAACCAGAGTTTTCTAAAACTTCAGACTTTATGTTTCTACCAGTTTACCTAATTCTCTGTAACTGCTAGTTACATGCCAGTTTTAATTTGATAAAGAATGTAAAAATCTTTCCTGTTTTATGATAGAAGAGGAAATTATAAGAAAAATAAAATGTTGTTGTTGCTTCTTTATAGTTACCTGAAAGCATTATTTGTTTGCATATAAAATCGTAACTATGAAGTTTAAGGTCCAAATTATTAAGACAGTAACTATATATTTATTAATTAAATCACTGTTTAAAATTTATATAGTTTAAATTAAACATTTAGATTTTTGGCAAAGATGGAAAACAGGCAAAAGACTAAAAAATATAACCAGAAAAATACATATCTTAAAATGTAGTGCTGTCCATAATAGTGTCTTGTGGGTGCTAGCAGTTTCAGAAAAGAGTACTTCAACAAAAGGGGTAAAATCTCAAATTCATTACATACATATCTTGCCACAAGGAATTTTCTATAATCTGTTTCAGTATCTGAGCTGTGTTGAAGTCAGCAATTTGTACATTCTGTGGCTTCATTTTTTTTTCCTTTGTAAGTCAGCTTCCAGACTTCCGAGAACTGAATGTTTGCCAGAACTGAGTCAAATTTTCCTACCTTTTGAATGAGTTTGTCCCTTGATGAGATGGGTCTAAAAAAACTAYCAGACAGTCTTGGTTTTCATTATCATCAGGACTCTCACATAATTTGCTCTGGATAGTCCCTGTTTGAGTCAGTTTTCCATCTCTATGACAAAATACCTGACATAAACAATCTAATAGGAGGAGAAATTTATTCGGGTCATGGTTTCAGTATGTGGTTGCTTTATTCTTGGGCTTGTGGTGAGGCAGAACATTATGGCGGGGAGCACCTGGTGGAGCAAAGTTGTTTACTCATGGTGTCCAGGAAGCAAAGAGTGAGAGAGAAAGGGGCTGGAGTCCCAATACCTCATTAAAGGGCACACCACCCCCAATGACCTAACTTCCTTATCCCAAGCCATACCTCCTAAAGGYTCCACCATATTCCAGTTGTACCCTCAGATGCAGACCAAGGCTTCAACTCATGAGCCTTGGTTGGGGGCTGAAGATATTTGCAATCCAAACCAGAACATTCCCTGATCTACCATCTCTTTTCAACCACAACTCCTACTATTATAGGGTCTTCTGCATCTCCTACTCTTGAATAAAACCCTATGCATTCAACCCCTATTTCAAACTTTTTTGCTCTATCCTTGCTATAATTGAAACCAATGAGTCTAATACTGCTGTATAGCTCTCTCAATGGGAGGCTGTTTCTTACTTATAACCAGGCACTTCTCAGCAGCATAAGAAATGATTTCACATGTAATTTCTCATGTGTTCATCCCTACTTACATTCATAGAGGCTCTTATAAATTTGAGTCGCTCATTTCTATTATTACTATTTTGTCATTCCAGTAGTATTTGAAAATGCAAAGTTGATTTTAGAGTTTTCAGAAAATTTGATGATTTATAGAGGGCTAGCTATTGTTTTATGAGGGTTGTTTACATTTAGAATAGGACTTTCAYTTAGAAATATAACAATTTTAACTAAATCTTTTGTGTTAGTCGTCGGAATCTATCAGTTGTATATTAGGTAATTAATTACACTGCAGGTACAGTAATTCTTTTATCAATTGATTCAATTGTTGATAAACTCCATTATATACTAAGTCCTTATTACAGGTAGGCACTGTGAAATGCCTTCAGGATACAACRAACAAAATGTATATAGGTTCTCTCTTCAGGAAGAAGAAAACATAAACAAGAACRTGAATTATTAATTATAATAATCAACACAATATATTATTTAATCATGTCAGCACTCCATAGGAAAAGTTCAGTATGTAATGTTGGTGGGTGGATAATTTAAGGGGAGGTCAGCTTGTTGGAAATGGATGCTTTAGGGGAAAGAAAACAGAAAACCAGATGAAAGCCAAGAAAATTTTACCAGCTCCCTTCCTTCTATTTATATATGCCAATAACTGATGACCAAAACTGCATTATGGGGAGGGAGTGTGTGAAAAATATGTATATTTTAAAAATAAACATAGTTTTAGTTTTGTCTAGCCTAAAAAAGAAGTCTGGTAGTCACAGCTGTGGGCTCTTAGATACTGCTTCTACCCACTTTCGAAGATGCTAGTGAGGATGCCTAGGTGTAAGAGCCTCCACTGTGGATTCAGAGCACACTGCCTTTCTGCTTCTTGTTAGTGGAGTCTTAGGAGACACAGTAGAGCTGTTTACTGGTATGTAAACAGAACACTAAAGGGTATGTGCCTTGATCCAAGTCTCCTTCTCTAGGAGTTTATAAATGTTATCCAGGTTTTTACATATGTTTTTTCTTAAAACAGAATTTATTATGCAAAGCCTATCTATTTTCCAGTAGATAATGCTTTTGTTTTTATTGTTGTTTAAAACACAGATTGCATGTCTAATTCCATTCAGTTTAACTGTCAAGTTAAAATAAAAAGACRCTATAATTACAGATACCTGACTCAGTTCAGAATAACACCAATCATGGGGACAATGTTCTGCTTTTGATTTCAAAGCAATCACTGAGTGAGCTGCCTTTGATTTGGAACATGAGTCAGCATTTAGCAAAGCTAAATTAAACCACTACTGCAGATTTTGAGTGACAGAAAAACTTTAAATAGGGCACTGCTTGTCCTTAGTTTCGGGTATCTGTGATTTACTTGGCTTTATTAGGCAAAAGAGGCATTGGTTCAGTTATATTTTTAACATTCCTTAAAATAAATCAAAGAGTGTTCCCATTTGGATGTGGATTAGTATGATGGAGGAAATGAAGAACTAACAAGTGCTMAGTATCCAGGGATTATGTGCTGGGCTCTGTGCTGGATTGTGTTCGTTAATGTTTTTTTGGTTGCACATAACAGAAACTGGATCTTGGATAGCTTAAGGGAAAAAGTGTTATGAGCATAGTGGAAGAATGTTTGGGTATCTCCTGGCATCCAAGATTCAGGAAAAGCAGGGGAGAGGGGTTCTCTTATCTCAGAACTGGGGGTACCTATTTGTCTCTCTAGTATAAAGTATTTGAAGTGATTTTTCATGGGATCTCTAGTTCAAGCCAGATTTGTACCTGTGGATCAATCAAGGTTGGAGAATGACATAGGTTAGCTATTGGTCCATGGGCAACCACACCTGCATTTCATGGATAGGTATCAGAGAAGGGGAGATTATTGTGAAATGGTGGACACACCACCAAGGTCTACTCTACTGGCAMTCACCAGGTTATTTTCACAGAAAATTTATAAAAATTACTATTTCTACATCACAAATTAGAAAACTAAGTCTCAAGTTGGTTAGGCAACTTGTTTAAGGTTTTGAAATTAGAATGTGGCAGAGCTAGAATATCAAATGTCTATAAGGAAGGTTTTTCCTTCTTGGAACATTGACAGTGTGATAAGGCTATTTGGTTAGACACTTTAAAATATTTTCTCATAGAGATGCCATTAGGACCTACAGGGTACTGGGAAGAGTACACCTACATATTRAAAGCCCTTCTGTTGAATCCTAATTACATTCTGTCAGGATGAGCAGAAAGAAACTCAATCTACTCCATTCATAAATGTGGATATATCATCTCCTTCACAGAGTTGTAGAGAAAACACGGGGAAATGCTTGCAGATTCTCATTTTGGTGGTAAGAAAGAACTTTTCTATTAATGAAAATGAGGATTGTTCAACTATTTAAGCAAAATATGACACTGGTCATAGTCTGAAAGTGGTTTCATCATTCAAAATTACTTCACCCTTCAACTTCCAGCCTTTTAGAATAGTGCCTTATTCATCTAGACATAAAGGTAGAAAATGCTATGTAAAAAGGGTTGAGGAAATCCTATACCAAGCAAAGAAAGTTTTAGATACAAAACATTTAACTATTTCTCTTTGAGACTTGACAGGGAGGTGGGTTCCACATTTCAGGGAAGAACACTTAACATTTCGTAGCACAATGCTTGATCCTCAAATTCTCCTAGTGATTACCACTCTAAGATGAGCTAAGTCCTTTTGATAACCACAACAAAAACAGAATATGATTCTTAATGTGGAAATCTGTAACTTGAACATCACCAAAACAGATTATTAGCTAATTCAGTTTGGAAGAATTCATGCACATAATTCATCAGAATTCTATACCCAGATTACACCAGTTATTTTTAAGGACGTCTTTGTGAAAAAAATCACTGTAATCCAAAACAGTGTATTACTGTACATGGTGAGTATTCGGCAAATACTCATAGATTGATAGGTCATAATTTAATTTGACCTAACAATTTTTAAGTCAACAGCAAAGTTGAAACCCCAAATGGAAACTAAACAAAACAATACTTTGCGRTGGTCAGAGATAAAGGAGAGGAATAGACTACTATGTTGTCTTGACATTTTCAATATCTTTGGATCTTAGACTCTCTTGRTCTTAGCTTCAGTGATCTTCTATGCTTCATACTAAGTCATACCTGACTAGCTTGTAAAATTGTCCTATCGTTTAATTTCATGCTAAAGAGAGTCAAGAGGTTTTAAATAAYGAACTATATCACTGTGTTACCTGCTGGCTCCTAAATTAATAACTCTCTTGCTTTTTTTTTTACTATATTGAATTCAAGTCAATGTCATACTTTATTTAATTTTTACTTGAATTATAAGAGAAAAYTGAATGCTAATTGTTAAGACTCTCAGTAACGATCATAAATATTTAAAGGAGAATATTTATAAAACATCATCATACTTAGATACAGAAGTTTRAGAAAGAAAATGTTCTAAAAAGAATTAAGAAAGAATTGAGGAAAAAAGAATTAAACAAGAAAAAAAAATAACCAGTAAGTTTTGGAGCTCCTTTTATTACACTGAGAAATCCCATAAAAGTACTAAGCCCATGAAAGTAGAAGCATTTCAGAAAATAAGACAAAATGTTTGCATCCATACATTTTATTGACATTTTGGTTTTGATGTTAAAATGCTTGTGATTTTGCACTGAAGCACACTGTTCATGAATTAACATTCCAAAGTACTGAGAAAAGATATATATCATATATTACATATCCTACGTTTGAACCTGAATTCCTATAAGTGGCTGAGTTATGTTCTCTGTCTAGAGAGTGAGTTCATGATTCAATTCATAGGATAAATGACCTCATTGATCTACACTGCCTTTAAAGAGCAGAAATGGGAAATAAGCATGTATCACACATACTCCTTGAGTTTAAGTGGGATATCAGATCAAAGTGGAATTAATATCATTATCCTTAGTGTTTTTATTTCTATTTTGTTATTCAGTAGACCAATCAAAGTATATAGATCCAACTTCAGAAAAGAGGTTTAGTAATATCAGAATAATTCTCTATCATATCCAGCATTTCATCCAAATTAYATAGGTAAATAGTTGATGAAATTTATGTTATTTCTATCCTTGAAATCAAATAAATCCTTGATTACATTCTAGCATCTTATCAAAAATTATCATGAAGCAATCATAAAGATATTTATTTCTTTTGCCAAAGGCAGTATAACAGGCTAYCAGAGGATATGAAATTTACTTAATTGCCTTTTGATAATGTGGCACTTTTCAATGGCTTTTGGGTCATATTATACTTTGTTGCTGTTACTACTACAAATAAAATAATAAATGTAAGGGAGAAAATAAGAGAAAATAAATTAAATTCCCTGGTAGTTCTTCTAAATATTGTTTTGCCTTATCCTTGAACTRGAAATCATTTTTCCAAGGCTTGGAAAAAAAATAAACCAAAAGCATCTTTATAATTCATGGCATGTATTTTAGAGGTCTAATGATTTATGCAATACCAGTGTGGGTTAGCTTGTCATGTTCTTTATTCAATGTCAACTGGTTCCGTAGCTATTAAAGCACTTAACTGTTTCTGTGCACAGGAGAGGAACAGCTCCAAACTGGACAGGCTTCTTTGGCGGATGACTTGGTCAAGCTGTTGATTTTTTTTTAAGAGAAAGAAGAGAGAAAACGACTTAGTGAAAGGATAAAGAATATTATATATCAGTGAAACCCACTAGAAAAGCTGTTGTAAATRAGATGATTTAGGAAACCAAACAGTACTTTAAACTGAGTGACAGTGGAGTTACTGCCATATGACCTAAGATGAGATGATGATCATTATAATTTTAGAATTATTTAGTATTTAGTTACTGTAGAAATATCATAAATTTATCTGAAAGTGCCATGATTTTATTATCTTTTAATGATGAGTAATTATTCCATTGTGTATATATATCACATTTTCTTTATATATTCATTACTGAAGGGTTCTAGGTTGGTTCCACAATTTAGCTATTGTGAATTGTGCTGCTATAAACTTTGATGTGGCTGCATCACTGCAGTATGCTGTTTTTAAGTCCTTTGGTAATAAACCAAGGAGTAGATAGGGCAAAGGGGATGGAGAAGAAGGGAGGAGATATGGGGGTAGAAAAGATGGTGAAATGAGGCAGACATTATTACTCTAAGTACATGTATGAAAACACAAATGGTGTGACTTTACTTTGTATACAACCAGGGACATAAAAAATTGTTCTCTATTTGTGTAACATGAATTGAACTGAATTCTGCTGTCATATATAACAAATTAGAATTAAAAGAGAAAAAGAAATATCATATTTTCTCAGAGTGACTTTAGAAAATAAAAAAATACTAAAACATACTGCTTATTAATAAATGTACAGACTAAACATCCACAAAGAGTATATAAATATCATAGATCATATAATGAAAGAAATGTATTACAGAAAAGCAGCATAACCACATCATGCAYAGGATTAAATAGAATAAATCACAAGTAAGTAGATAATATCCTAAAATTAGAGTAAGTTTTTAGGAAGATATACTTTGAAAYAATTTTTGGTAATAGTTGAAATCTATTTGACCTAGTTCTCCTATTTCAGCAGATATTTTTAAATTAGGATTATTTCARTATACACACAGCAAATTAATGCCATGAACAAAATAAGAGATTTAGTAAGCAAAATTATTTGAGTTATATATAAGAAGAACTTTCTTACATATAAGAGCTTTCTTATGTATAMGAAAGAACTTTCTGGATGAAAAAGATTACTTAATACACAAAGAAAAGTTTCCAGTTCTTATGCCCTACACAATTTGCCTATGGTATAAATATAAAAGCAAATGGTGATAACACATTGCCTACCAATTACAGAACAATGGAAGAATTCAAAAGAAAGCCAAAGAAATTCTACTTCACAATATATACCTGTCATATTTATAAGGAAAATTGACATCTTCTTCCTGCAAGCCTCTTTCCAAAAAAAAWGAAAAAAAGAGACAAATTCCAACAAGAGCTTTCTATTAAATTATACTTTGATAGTYCACTGATATTCAGAACAACTAATAAACTGGATGATTAAAATTTTGAAGTATTCTAAGAGTTAATGACAAAAAGAGTGCAAATTAGCAAAATCTCAAGAAATAGAACAGAACTCTTAACACTCCAATTCTAGTATTCTGAGACTTTACTATATGTAGAGAAATAGCATTTTGGCTTATCCTTGTTCCTCCTTGTCCCTTTCTCCTTTCTSTATCAGATGATACCTTCAGACAAACATATTCCTTCTGCTTACCAGAATCTATTGTAACAAGAGACTCTAACAATTTAAATCCCAAAGAGCCCATATCTTGTGTATCTTGTTAACTACTTATCCCCATATCATTTAGAAGAGGGACTGGCACATGTTAGACACTTAAAGCAATGTACTAGGATATTACAGAGGCACTTTAAAATTTTTTTTAGTTGTAGTTGGACACAATATCTTTATTTTATTTATTTATTTTTATGTGGTGCTGAGGATCAAACCCAGGGCCCTGCATGTGCTAGGCAAGTGTTCTACCGCTGATCCACAACCCCAGTCCTGACAGATGCACTTTTAATGCATGTTCAACATAACTTCAAGGACATGTAGGAGATTAGAAGGGATTTTTAAAAAGTGATTTTAATATACATAAAATAGATTGAAAGTTAAATACCTGAAGCTTTTAAATTATTCCATACTTGGTCAAAATTCAAACAGCACAGAAGAGTATCCCACTACTCACTTCCAGTCCATTCCCCAGTGACTTCTGTCTACTTATGGATCCTTTCAAGCATTTAAAGTAGGCTTTAAAATTTTTTTGAAATATTGTAAAAAATATTGTAATTGTTATGTGAAATAGGAGGGTTCATATCATTACACTATTCCACTGCCATTACTGGAAGGTTTTTCCCCATTTCATTTAAAATAATGACTTATTTGATAATATCCCACAATTTATTGTTGAGTCACTCATTGTTATATAAGTTTATTTTAGCTTTTTTGTTTTGAAGCAATAAGGAAATTTACAACCTGAATGCAAGATGTTCAAGGATTTCTCCTGGACAAGATTTCAATATGTGGAATTYCTATGGCATAAAAGTTGTATACTGTAAATTGTAATAGATATTACTGTTTTGCAGGGTGATTATATCAAGATATCAGTCCCAAGTGAATTCAAGATATAACTCCTAGTCTTATAGTGTATAAAAGTGCCAGTTTTCCCCATTTTATTCTTATTGAATACTAGCATTTTTACAATTTAACATATATAAATGATATTTAAAAGTATAACAAACTTATACTATTTTTCATAAAGTACATGTACGCATGCACAYACATACACACAAATAAAGCTCAGAAGTATATAATTTTGGGGTACATACATTGGCAAGAAAACATTTCTTTTTAAGGCAAGGAAACAAGAGAATCAAAACTGAAGAGAGTGCAGTCAGGCAGGGTAAAATTTTAAGATTAGTGATAGCTTCATGGGTGTTTGTCTTATTATGCTCAATAAAAGTGCATATATCATTTGTGCTTGTTTTAACAACTCAAAAGCTTCCAGAAATCCCACAATATAATCAGGAGTTTCACTAAAAACAAATCTGACTTCATCTCATAGAACTTATGGGTATTAGATAAAAGAGAAACAAATCCTCTTTTTGAGGACATAGAGCAAAAATTCAGAGTCTAACTAGTATTCAATTTSTGATTCTTGCATAAATAATATAGATTTATGAATTCAGAATTCTAGAATTTAAAATACCAAGGATACATATAAGGAGAAAAATTTAATAGATTTCTATTACATGCCAATTTCTTCTTTCCTTTTGCTTGTGTTAAAAGTCACACTGGAATTACTAAGTATATAATGATGTACATGCTAGTTTTGGTTTGAGGGAACTGCCAAGGTTCATTTCAGATCTTTCCCCAAYACCTTCCCAGAACTCTCTTGAAGTTAAAAATCCATTAAATAAATRGGACCAAGGAGCAATAAGGTGACACTGACACTCTGTTGGGAGAAAGCTAGTAATTGGACCACCATGCTTCCAATTTAGTCTGTTCTTCCTGGCCTGGTGAGATCACCCCTGTGAGAGGGGACACTTTCTATTATAAGGAATTCCCCTCTCCAAAACAAGTCTTTCAAATTGATGTTCTTGGTTAATTTCTGAATTTCAAAACTTTCTGTTGATAAGGCATGACCTTATTATCCTTTATTAATGAAAGAAGAATTTCAGCAAGATATCCAATGTCTTTAGCTCTTTAAACAATGGGACTCAGTTGTTATTTGTAGTTTTTATTTCGAAGTAAAACAAAGACTTGTATTCTGTGACATATAAGTATAATAAATATTATATCCATAGTAGTGATGGGTAAATATTTTTAGATACGGGTTTGTAATTTCTTCATAACAGTTGTTATGGTTTGGATTTTAAACTCCCCTGTCCCCTTCAAAAGCACATGAGTTAGAAGGCTTGGCCCAGCATAGCAGTGCATGGAGCTAGGAGGCCTTTGGTTCTCCAGGGCTCTGACCTTATTAATGGATAATCCATTTATGGATTCATGATGCAATGTTTGAGGGAGGGGCTTTGTTATAACAGGAAGCTTTCTTTTTGTTTCCAGATTGCCCTGAGGTTAGCTCTGTGCTCCACCACGTGCTTCCTGCTATGATGTGCTGTCTAACCACAGTCCCAAAATGATYGGACCAAATGACCCTGAACCCCTGAAACTGAGCCAAAATAAATCTTTCCTTTTTTTAAGTTGTTTATCTCAGGTATTCTGTCACTGCAATGGAAAGCACAATAGTATAGCTCTAACTGCTCTGTTTTTGCTCCAATTTTTTGTGCTTCAGTTTCTATTCAGYTCTTATAGATTCCTGAGAAAAACTTGGGAGCTCTGAGACCTCTGAAATAGATAACCATATTTTACCAAAAAAGTTATAAAATATTTCCCTGTATTATCTCTGGTTTGCTAACTTTCTGCTGAAACCCATTTAGAAGTTCAGTACTACCTATTCAAAGTTAATTTTAATAAACTTAGAATGGGGTAAAGAACATATGACTGGCCAATAATTCCATGTACCTATCTATTAGTGTTTCATACCATAGCAAGAGAAAAATAAAAAGCATTTATTGACCTTAGCTTTTATTTCCTTGCCATTAAAATGCAATATGACTTTAAACCAGTGTTTAAAGTCAATTACATGCAAAATCAATTAMAGAAAAATATGGCTTATTTGAATGTGACTGTTTATTAAGAACCTGGTTCATATACTAAAACACCTAATACATTGTTTTTGAAAAACAAAATATTGAAAAACAAAATATATATTCATACATAACATATTTAGTACCAACTGTGCTTTAAGTATCTTTTAGGCCTCTTCCAACAAAATATACCAAGAAATGTGAAAATATTAGGACTACCTTTAACATCATTACACTTCCAACCAATATGACTGCATATTTTAAATTTGGGCTTAAGAAATGATTTAATTTTTCAAAATGCTAGAAAGATATCTGGCAAATCACTGATGGAAAGTGACTCACACACAAATGTTATCAGTTTAGTAGCATTTTATGGACTCAGTTTTAACACTGATTAAGAAGCTCTT